CTTGCCATGCTTTATTAGGTAGAAATAGTCAGGACTCTCTTTTAGTTCATCATTGTGCAACTGAGGCAGGAACAACAGGGTAGTGGAGCAGGAGCATCATGTCAGAGTCTACCTAATGTCCCCTTGGACCTTTAGGAAGTAATTCAAGAACAGAACATTGCTTGTTATAAAAGGATTCTCTTAGATACTACTGTATTTTTAGATAGAACTCAGTCTTGGAAACCCCATCTTAAAGCTCTCGCTGTATGGCAAAATTCTAACCATGGAAAGCAAGTGTTCTGACTGCTCATGAACGGTCTCCTTATCCATTTAGACATTGTTCGATATCATCAGAAAATATGGTAAGTGTGTGAGTGAAGCCCTCAAGCAAAAGATTGGGCTTTATCAGATAGCATTGAATGAGCAAAATCTGAAGCTATAAGAAGTGGGGCGTTCTTATCTACGTACAGTCTTATATGAGAACGTTGGGCTTTCTTCCAAGCTTGGAATCTTATATTTCATAAGGACACAAATCATGTCTTGCTCATCTTTGAATTTAAGACTCTGACTGACCCAGAGGAGACATATTGTAAGTATTTGATGATTTGGTGAACTAAACTAGACCACCCTGCTAAGGTTTGAGTGCTTATGCCCCCCACAAATTCGTATGTTGAAATCCTGATGTCCACTGTGATGGTATTAGGAGGTGGGGGCCTTTGGGAGGTGATAGGTCACGAGAGCAGAGCCTTCATGAATGGGATTAGTGCCTTTAGAAAAGAGACTCCAGAGAGATCCCTTGCCCCTTCCGCCAGTGAGGATGCAACGAGAAGTCTGCAGCCCAGAAGAATGCCCCCACCTGACCATGCTGGCACCCTAGTCTCGGATTTCCAGCCTCCAGAACTATGAGAAATAAATTTCTGTCGTTTATAAGCCATGCGGTCTGTGGTATTTTGTTACAGCAGCCTGAATAGACTAAGACACAGACCATCCCAGTAGATGGGCACATTTTTGTGATCTAGGAATTTCGGCGTGAGATTGGTGGTTGATGTAGATTGCCTTCTAATCCTCGCATTCCACTGCAGGACGGCTGCTGAGAATGAGGGAAGGAGAAAAGCAGATATCAGAACTATGAAATCAGTTTTCTCAGCTCTTTTTTGTTGGCTCAATTAACCTCTGTTCCTTAGTGGCCGCAGAGGGCTATAATGTAACAAATTTCATTAATGATGATTCTGAGTCAGCAAAAAATGGTCAGATTATGTTTTATATACCCTGTTGCTAAGAGAAAATTTATGAAATCCATTTAAGAAAAGATTCCACTAAGAGTGGTAAACATAATGTGAGGGATATACTTTGGGTGACTCAAAAAATCTGCTACTTCCTTATGGTCAGATATTCAAGTTGTTGCTGTAACTACTTTTCCTGAGCATTGATTGTATAAACAACTCATTCTTTTTCTGCCCTAACATTTCATAAGAACGTGAGCATTAGGGAATAATCATAGGTAGACACAGTGCACAAGTGCTAGAAAACTTCAGACCCAAGACACTAGAATGGGTAGAATACCCACTTCGCAAATAGATACAGCTAGACAGAATGGTCAAGTGATGGGGTCATAGGCCGGAGCAATGGATTGTCAGTAACAGAAGGAAACTTTCTGAATCTGCTGACAGCTCCTGGGTCTCCCTCGCCCAAAACTGCTTTGTGATCTCCTTGTAAAAGGTAGAACCAGATTTTAAAGCAGAGATTGGCAAACTTCTGTACAGGGCCAGATGGTACCTATTTTAAACTCTGTTGCAACTACTCAGCTCCATCCTTGTCGTGCAAAAGTAGCCATAGGCAGTGCTTAAACTAATGGATGTGGCTGTGTTCCAATAAAACTTTATTTTCAAAAACGAGTGTGGGCTCAACCTTGTTTTAGAGAATTACGTGGAGTTTTGAAATGAATGTTGTTTCCCATGATCAACAACAAGTGTGTTATGTATCATACATACAAAGTGTCTTACAGAAGGTAACTATTTTCTAGGACACAGCCCACCAATGATCTACCTAGTCACCTTCTCTCTTTCTCTTTTCTCTCTCCCTCTTACTCTCTCGCTCTCTTAGGAAGTACTTCTCCACCTGTGGTTCAGATCTGGCCCAGCATTGAAGCTGGTCTTTTTTCTTAAGCAGGAGATACGTAAGGAGCATCCAGTCAGCTTTGCTGCTTATTTTGCTTTCACTGTGAACCCAGTTTCAGGTCTTGGATCCCTACCTTAGAGCCCTTCCTGGTACCCCAGTTCCTCTAAGACTGAAATTCTGCCTTATCCTCGTTACCCCAGTCATGTCAGTGACTGTATCCTCATACGATGCTAGGCACTGTATTGAAACGAAAGCAAAAATTGACTTCTGTTACAGAGTACCTACTCTGTGCTAGACACTGGTACATATGCACAAATAAAAGTATATGATAACATTCTTTGCCACCAAAGGATTTGGTCTTTAACAGAAACAGGACTTTAACACATTAAATAATAAAATATAACATAATTTAATTAATGTGGTATAACAATTTTAATAGCTATGGTTTACTACAAGTTCTATTGAATATAATGAGATGTTAAAATGTGCACTTCACACATGAATTATTTTCGGTGGAAGATTATATCTGCTAGACACTTGTGCTGAGCTCTGTAGAATTTGATTCCAGGTGAGGGTATTGTTATGAGCAATAGCAGTGTGTGTTGGAGAGAGGTAGGAGAGAAGGTTAGATCGGAAAGCACCAGATGGGGAGGAACTGGAAAGCCACTGAGGCTGTGGAGTTTATCAAGAGGACAACAGGGAACATCCAATGATATTTTATGGGGTTTAGTAGAGAGTAAGTTGCAATAGAAGAATGATGGACTAAAACCTAGAAATTCAAATGTCTGTGTCAACCCTGCTGCTTACTAACCATGGAGTCTTGGAGTCTGCACTTGGAGTCCTGGAGCCTAAGTTTCCTTATCTGTCAAATGGTAAGTGCATATCACAAAGATGTCATGAGTGTAAAATGAGAAGTGGACTTGAAAAATGTTTTGAAAGTCTTTAAAAAAGCTTTACAAATGACAGAAATTGCAATGATATTATGACAGTGGTGATGCAGGAAGAGGATACTTGTGGTTATGAGCAAAATGAATTGTAATGGAAGAAACTAGACTTAAGAGACAATTGGATGGACGGAAGAGGGCCTATGCACTGCCGTGAATGGATTACCAATGGAGAAGTAACTCAAACACAACAAAAAATCCACAATAAAACTCCATTGAACACATACTACCCCAATGCATCTTTGCTGATACAAATGCCACCTCATGATCATCATAAGCATCAATTCTAAAAGTACTGTATGCTTATGAATAAAGAGAATAAAGGAGGGGGGCCTGCCTTTTTATAACTGCAGCTAGAGGTTAGGCACATAGCAGAATTCAGGAGCTCATTTTCATGTCTGTTGCTCCCACTGATGTCTCTGCAATTTCTTTCTGCATGTCTTATTCTATCTTTCCAGTACCCAGTTCTTTTATTATGGCGGAAAAACAACTAATAGGGTAAAACTCAGAGCAAATAGTACTGCCTAAAAATAAAAATATCTTTTGGAGAAAAGAAAAACATGCCTTCACGTTTGCCTCTGCACTGTGGGTTTGCTGCTTGTTATTTCCTTGTGTCTTTTATCGCCCCTTTACAGCTTGAAAAGGGTCTACTCCCTTCCCGTCTGTTCACCACGTTAATTGGTCTGAGCAGGAAGAAGTTTCTTCAATATAGATCTTCTTCCTGCCTTTGGTTTTAAGTCCATTACATACCCCAGCAGCTTTATTGTTTAACTTCTTAATCTTCCTCTTATCAGTATATATTGGGACACGTCCTTGGTGCCCCTGAGGAGGTTAGGCATGGAGACTGAAATGATCCTTGGCTCCTTTTATAAAAAGCATGCTTAGCTTTTTCTGTATATAATTAACCTTGGGTGATAATCTGGCCTTTTCTGGTTGAATAGCAGGTATATTTCAATTGTTCCATTAAAAAAGATGTTCTGAGCACTGCCATCTGTCTGTGCCGGCCTGGGTGAGAGACAGAGGCAGAAGGCATTGTTCCTGTAATTGGGAGCGTAGAATCCACTTGAAAAGCAGTGGCGTGTTGGAAAAGATTAGACTCTAAATCAGAAGATCTGATTCTGCAGGTAACTTGCTTTATGGCCTGGCTTCAGCTTCTTTTTCTATAAAATGGATGGATTGAATTGGATCAATGATTTTCAAACAGTGTCTTTTAAAGATTTTTGACATTTAGGACCTGTCTACCTTAGAGGGCTGGGCAGGTAGGCCTCTGTCTCCCCAGGCCTCTTCCAGATGCTCCAATCGCTCACTTTTATATATTGTCTCCATATAAAATTTCAAATAAAAGTTTCCAGAGCTAAAAGTATTTGAAAGCATGTGGACCCAATAAGTCCTAACATCTTTTCCAATTTTGATTTTCTGTGAGCCTAAGACTTTGCAATAAAATATGAGAACATAGTATGTGCTAGTTGTGTGACAGAATTCTGTATCAGTCATTCAACAAACATTCACTAAATTCCTTGCAGGTTGCGGAATATCATAGCTACTGAACATCATAGCTATCTTCGGTTAGGTACTCTGTGGATTCAGATCAAAATGTATGTGAAATTTAATATGGTTGGTAGTTCTAGAAAATATAGAAGAGTAGAAAAAAAGAAAAAAACTGCTGACAGATCCTCCACTTAAAGACAATCACTCTCTCTCTCTTTTTGTTTTTTTGTTTTTGGTGAGGAAGATTGGTCCTGAGCTAACATCCATTGCCAATCTTCCTCTTTTTGCTTGAGGAAGATTGTCCCTGAGCTAACATCCATGCCAGTCTTCCTCTATTTTGTATATGGGACACTGCCACAGCATGGCTTGATGAATGGTGTGTAGGTCTGTCCCCAGGATCTGAACCAGTGAATCCAGGGCTGCTGAAGCAGAGAGTGCAACTTAACCACTAAGCCATTGGGCCAGCCCCTAAAGACAATCATTCTTACACTTCTGATTTATTTTCCTTCAAGGTTGTTTTCCCGTATCTCATGATATTTTAACATAGCTTTGAATATATATACACACACAGTTTTATATCCTGGCTTTTTATTTGATCTTAGAACATGGATGTTTTCCTTAGTGCTATAAGGACAAAGACCAGTGGATGTTGTCTAACAAGGCATAATCAACACGTAGCACAGAGCCTGGCCAATAGTTGGTGCTCAACAGAGATTAACTAATCAGATTATTAGTTAAATGAGTACTATGCAAATGTAAAAATTTTACATTCTGCCTGTTCTGTGATATTAAAACTCCCACTGCCCATCTTCTAAAGCTGAACGTATGAACGTATTAGGATCCTGTGGCTCCACTCCTAAGTGAATACCCAACAGAAATGCACACGTACATTCAGCAAAAGACATCTTCTAGAATGTTATAGGAACAATACTGATAATAGCCCCAAACTAGAAACTGCCAAGATGCCTATCAACATGTGTTGAGATAAATATGTGGATTCACACGAGGAATACAAAACAGCAATGATGATGAACAATCCACAACCAGACACAAAACCAGACACAGAAGAATGCATGGCCCACGATTCCACTGAAAAGTACAGGAAAAATCCATCTGTGCTGTTAGAAGGCAGGGGAGGGAGCATTGGAGGGACTTCTGGGTGCTGGTACTGTTTGATTCTTGACCTGGGTGCTGGTTACGTGGTTGTATCAGTTTGCAGAAATTTGTTAAGCTGTACAATTAAGATATGTGCACTTTCTGTGTGTGTATTACACTTGCATAACATTTTTGAAAGAACTTCTGTAGTTTTCTAAATTATAGGTGATTCTCAATATAGTAGTAAAGAGCTATTAAGTTAAGGATTTGATTGTATTTCACTTAAAAAAGGAGAACTGAATCTCTTATGCATCTATTTATTAAGGTACCCCTTGGATGTATTCCAGTGTCACTGAATACTTCCCTGTTACAGCACTTACCACACTAGGCTGTAATTGTCTATTTTTCTTTTCCCCACACCAGACCATAAGTTTCCTGGGGGCAGGAACACTGTCTTTCTTGGTCAGAATTACATCCTCAGCAGGTAGTGTGTACTCAAGTCCTTGTTGAATGAATGAATGAGAGCTTCACTCGGGGAAGATGTGTGATAGGGGCATTGTCCTGGCTCCCGGTGGTCGTTCTGGTGTTTTATTTATGATGTTCTGCCAAGTTGATGCCTTCTCCTGAGTTTGCACACATTTTATACAGGAGAAAACTGCAGATAAAGGAATATACTGTAAATCACATTAAAAATAGTGCTATAAGAACTGCAGGCAGAATCATATCAGACCAAGACTCTACCCCATCCTTTGATAATCTTTTATCTCTTGAATTGGATTATCTACTAATTATCTATAACTGAATTATATAATCTGCCTTTATATTGGTAATTTATAATTAGTATGGTCTCTATATCGCTTAATTTAAAACCTACATTAAAATATATAGGAAAAGAAAAATATATTCTATATACACATGCAAAAAACAATTGGTGAATGGTGATGTGGTATGCTGAGATTATAAGACCGACGGAGGCATCTCATAAGCCCCCACATAAGCTACAGAAACACCAACAGCAGCAAATATAACTACATTGTATAGTAAGATGGTAAAGTGCCAAATTGTCCACTACAAATAATATATAATGGAGTGCTAATTATGTGCTATATGAATTTGGTGCGAGAAGAGCTAGAAGAAGGAATGGAAATGGCTAATAAGTAAATAAACAATAAAAAATATTCAAAATCATTAGTAGATAAATAACTGCAAATTAAAACAGTGTGAACATTTTCACCTACTAATCAGCAGTTGGTTTGTGTGGATAAATCATGATATGGTATAGAAAAATACAGTCTTTCTTAACAATTGGCATCTTTTTGGAGTAAAATTTTCCAGTGTGTCACAAGTATTAAAATCTGGCTATTCTTTGACTCAGCAATTTAGTTTTTCAGACTTTACGTTCAAGCAGCTATAAAATTGATCCTACGATGATTAATTCATTGAAGAGCATTTATTGAGTATATACTATGCATCATAAAGAAATACGTATTTGCAAAAAATATTAGTGAGTAATGGTATTTATTGCAGTTATGATAACTTATAAACCAACCTGACTCTCCAACAGTAGCGCCATATATAATCCCTCCTTCTTGCCCTTTACCTCATTCCCATTCCTGTCCCCACCGCCATACCCAGGCAACCACTAATCTACTTTCTGTTGCAATAGATTAGTTTACATTTTCTAGAGTTTTATATAATGGGATCATAAGGTATATTTGTTCTCCTTTTTGTTTTCTTTAACTCAGCATAATTATTTTGAATAACTCAGATTCATTTGTTATAGCATGTATCGATGGTTCATTTCTTTTCAGTGTTAAGTAGTATTCCATTGTATGGATATATCCAGGTTTGTTTATCCACTCACCTGTTAATGGATATTTGCGTTGTTTTCCTTTTGGAGCTGCTATGAATGAACATTCTAGTGTAAGTCTTTTATTTCTCTCGGGTATGTTTTCATTTCGCTTGGAATTTCCTCGGGGTGAAATGGCTGGTCATATGGTAGATATATACTTAACTTTTTAAGAAACTTCCAAAGTGTTTTCCAAAGTTGCATTTCCACTAGCAGTATGTGAGTTCCAGTTCTTCCACATACTTGCCAACAATTGTGTGTTCAGTCTTTTTAATTTTAGCTGATGTAATAGACGTGTAATGGTATCTCACTGTGACTTAAAATATACATTTCTCTCATAACTAATTTTGTTGAGGATCTTTTCATGTACTTAGTTACCATTCGTATATCTACTTTGGTGAAATGTTTGTTCAATTCTTTTCCCATTTTTTAATTGGGTGATTGATTTTTTCGTATTATTTAGTTACAAGAATTTTTAATATATTTTAGATACAAGTCCTTATCAGATATATGATTTGGACATATTTTCTCCCAACCTATGACTTACTTTATTCTCGTAACAGTGTATTTCGAAGAATAATTTTTAATTTTGATGAAATCCAGTTTATCAATTTGTTCTTTTATAGATCATGCTTTTAGTTTTGTGTCTAAGACATCTTTACCTAATTCAAGTTCTCAAAAGTTTTTTCCTATGCTTTCTTCTAGATGTTTTATAGTTCTAGGTTTTATAGTTAGTTCCTGGTTCCATTGTGAGTTCGTTTTTATATATGGTGCAAGATGTGGAACAAAATTCTTTTTTTGTTTGCATATGAATATCTAATTTTTCTAGCACCATTTGTTGAAGACTAATATTTCTTCACTAAATTGCCTTTATACCTTTGTCAAAAATCAGTTGTCAATATGTACATGGGCTGGACTCTCTATTCTATCTTTTTATCTTCTTGTTTATCTTTTATCTATTTATCTTTATGCCAATACCACACTATCTTGATTACTATACCTTTATAAGTCTTCAAATCAAGCAGGATCATTTCTCCAATTTTGTACATCTTTTAAAAAATTGTTTTGACAACTCTAGATCCTTTGAAATTCCATATGAATTTTACAGTCAGTCAATTTCAACAAAAAAGCCTGCTGAGAATTTGATTGGGATCATGTTGAATCTATAGGTCAATTTGAGGAAGAACTGACAACAGTACTGAGTCTTTCAATCTGTGAATATAATATCTCTTATCAATGTTTTATAGTTTTTCAGTGTATAGGTCTTTCATATCTTTTGTCAGATTTACCCTAAGTGTGTTACATTTTATAAATGATATTGTTTTCAACTTCCAGTTGTTTGTCATTGTTACATAGAAATACAGTTGATTTTTATATATTGATCTTGTATTCTGCAGTCTCATTTACTAGCTTATTTGTAGATTCCATAATTTTTTATGTTTTATTGGGATATAATTCACATACTGTAAAGTTCACTCTTTTAAAGTATACAATTCAATGTTTTTTAGTACAAAGCATCACACAACCATCACCATCTAATTTCAGAACATTTTCATCACCCAAAACACACATCAATACCCATTATCAATTACTCCCCATTCTTCCCCTCCCAATAGCCCCTGGCAATCACTGATCTGTTTCCTGTCCCTATAGTTTTGTCTTTTCCAGAATGTCACATAAATGGGATCATACAATATGTGGCCTTTTGTCATTGGCTTCTTTCACTTATGAAAACATAATGTTTTCAAGGTTCATCCATGTTGTAGCGTGAATAAGTACTTCATTCCTTTTTATGACTGAATAGTATTACATTGTATGGATATATACCACATTTTGTTCATTTATTCATCAGTTGATGGACATCTGGATTGTTTCTACTTTTAAACTATTATCCATGACTCTGCTGTCAACATTTGTATACAAGTTTTTGTGTGGTGATTCCATCAATTTTAAACTCAGTTTGTTACAATATAAATATTGTTTTTGTCAAAAAGGGAAAATAGTGGGGAAAAAAAGCTTAGAGAAGAAGTGATCATGGTGAGATAGTATTGTCACTGAAGATTTAATAGAGGAAGTGGGACTAGAAATGGGCCTTATAGGATGGGTCAGGTTAGGTAAAAACATGAAGTTGGGAGGAGGGCCGTGAGGTTGTTTCAGATGAGAGGAGAGCATGAGGGAAGGAAAAGCACAATGACTGGAGCCAAGGTGTGGTGCTAGAAAGTGGTCAAAAATAAATATTATGAACAGATCAAGAGCAAATGATGAAGTGTCTTAAACACCAAGCAGAGGTGTATGGACGTGATAAGCCAGGCACTAGGAAGCACTATAGGTCTTTAATCCAATGAGTAATATAATAAATATGATGTTTAGGGATATGTTTCTATAGCAGTAAATAGGAAGTATTAAAAGGTAGAGAGTTTGTGAGAGGAATACCAGCAAGGAGGCAATTGCAACATATTAATAAGGTGACTAGTGAAAGTGGAAAGAAAGGAATAAATACAAGTAACAGTGCCTTAAGTATGGAAGATGTACAGTCCCAACAACATGTTTTGTAGAAATAGAAAAATTCATTCTGAAATTCATGTGGAATCTGAAGAGACTCAGAAGGGCCAAAACAATCTTGAAAAAGAACAAAGTTGGAAATCTCACACTTCCTGATTTCAAAACTTATCACAAAATTACAGTCATCAAAATAGTGTTGCATAAAGACAAACATATAGACCAATGGGATAGAATAGAGGGCCCAGAAATAAACTCTCAAGTGTATGGTCAAATGATTTTTAACATGGGTACCAAGACCATTCGATGGGGAAAGGACAGTCTTTTCAACAAATGATTTTGGGAAAACTGGATATCCACATGCAAAGAAATGAAGATGGACATCACCTCACACCATATATAAAAATTAGGGGCCGGCCCTGTGGAGTAGTGGTTAAGCTCAGTGCACTCTGCTTCAGTGGCCTGGGTTCACAGGTTCAGATCCCAGGCACAGACCTACACCACTTGTTAGCCATGCTGTGGCAGCGACCCACATATATAGTGGAGGAAGATTGCAACAGATTTTAGCTCAGGGCTAATCTTCCTCAGCAAAAAAATAAATAAAAAATTAGCTCAATATGGATCAAAGACTTAAATTTAAGTGCTAAAACTATAAAACTCTTAGAAGAAAACATAGGAAAAAAGTTTCATGACATTGGATTTGGCAGTGATTTATTAGTATGACACCAAAGGCATAGGCAACAAAAGAAAAAATAGATAAATGAGACTTCATCAAAAGTAAAAACTTTTGTGCAGCAAAGGATACTATTGAGTGAAAAAATAACCAACAGAAGGAGAGAAAATATTTTGCAAGTTATCTACCTGGTAAGTACTTGATATCCAGAATATGCTAAAAACAACAACAACAACAACAAAAAACTCCTACAACTCAACAACAACAAAAATCTGATTAAAAAGTGGGCAAAGGACTTAAGTAGACATTTCTCCAAAGAAGATATACAGATGGCCAATAAGCACATGAAAAGATGCCCAGCATCACTAAATCATTAGGGAAGTACAAATCAAAACCACAATTAGATACTACTTCACACCAATTACAATGGCTGTTATCCAAAAAAAAACCCAAAATAAGAAATGTTGGTGTGGACGTGCGAAAGTTGGAACCCTTGTGCATTGCTGGAGGCAATGTAAAATGATGCAACTGCTGTGGAAAATGGTATGGCGATTCATCAAAAATAAAGTGGAATTACTATATGATTCAGCAGTTCCACTTCTGGATGTATACCCAAAAGAAACGAAAGCAAGGACACAAACAGATACTTCTACAGCCATGTTCATAGCGGCGTTTTTCACGGTAGCCAAAAGGTGGAAGCAACCCAATTGCCCATTGACAGACGAATGGATAAACAAAGTGTGGTATATACATACAATGGTATATTATTTAGTCTTTAAAAGGAGGGAAATTCTGACACATGCTACAGCATGGATGAACTTTGAAAACATGCTAAGTGAAAGAAGCCATCAAAAAAGGACAAATATTGTATGATTCCACTTACATCATGTATCTAGAGAAGTCAAATTGATAAAGACAGAAAGTAGAGTGGTGGTTGCCAGGCCTCGGGGAAGGAGGGAATAAGGAGTTATTGTTCAATGGGTATGGAGTTTTAGTTTGGGATAATGAAAAAGTTCTGGAGATGGGTGGTTGTGATGGTTGCACAATAATATGAATGTACTTAATGCCACCAAACTGTACACTTAGAAAGGGTTAAAATTGTAATTATTATTATTATATTTTGGTGAGGAAGATTGGCCCTGAGCTAACACCTGTGCCAATCTTCCTCTATTTTGTATGTGGAATGCCACCACAGCGTGGCTTGATGAGCAGTGTGTAGGTCCACACCCAGGATCTGAACCCGTGAACCCTGGGCCACTGAAGTGGAGTGCATGAACTTAACCACTACACCACGGGGCTGGCCCCTAAAATTGCAAATTTTATCTTGTGTATATTTTACCACAATAAAAAAAGTAGATGTGCAATAAATGTTTGTTGAATGAATAAATGGTTAAAAAGTCAATAGAATTTGATAGAGTGAGGGCAAGGTAGGGGCAAAGGTGACTGTAAGATTTAAAGTCCTAGTGGTACCACTGACGGAAATTGGGAAATAGTAGAGATGTTGATTGCTTTGCTTTCATATGACATAATTATACATGAGGTGACCAAAGTGGAAACATTTTGGTAGACAGTTAGAACTGAGGTGGAAGATTAAGGCTGAAAATATAGACTTGGAAATTACCATAGCGGCTCTATTAAAGCCAAGAGAGCTCTTTGGTTTTCTCCCAACACTAACAGGGACTTAAGCACATGTTGCCCTCTGCTCCACCCTCCAGTCTTATTCCTCAAGGAGAGTCCTGTGTTTAAGGGCATGTTTTCTTTTTGGTTTTTTTTTTTAAGATTTTATTTTCCTTTGTCTCCCCAAAGCCTCCCAGTAAATAGTTGTGTATTTTTAGTTGTGGGTCCTTCTGGTTGTGGTATGTGGGATGCCGCCTCAGCATGGCCTGACTAGGGGTGCCATGTCCAAGCCCAGGATTTGAACCAGTGAAACCCTGAGCCACCAAAGCGGAGCAAGCGAACCTAACCACTGGGCCACACGCCGGCCCCTAAGGGCATGTTTTCACTAATTCATTGACATGTGAATACTTAGCAAATTGACTTTTAAGGTGACTGCAAACTGTGGATTTTAAAATAATTAAAATGCCTCACCCTGTTTTCATTTGATAGATAAAAATGCAAGATTATGCGCTTGAAGAGATACAATGGGAGTAGGGGAAGAAATTGTAAAAGCTCTTCTTAACTCATATCTGACCAGAGACCGTAAAGCAATAAATCTTGCGGTATTTGTCAAGTCAAGGCTTTCATCAACAACAGATAAGACATCAAAAGCTCGAGCCACCTGATTTGCATAAGCCACTAAAGGATTCTGTTTAGGAACAATGAAATATTATAGAACTTAGAAACTTGCATTTTGTAAGATGTGTCTGAAAAGATTATTTTGAAGCTTATTTTTATTTCCTTGGAGGAACAGAAGTAGATTAGCATGTTTTGTCGTGCTACTGACTCATTAAATACCAGCTCACACCTCTGTCAGTAAAGCTAAGTTCTTTGAGAAACGGAATTGCTCTTTTTGAACAAAGGTATCAGACAAACCACTTGTCTGGAACCACAGTCACACAACTGCACAGTCTCTCTGGATAGTGACAGCAAAATGCTCACTGAAGGTCATACTTCAAGTGCTCAGTGGAGAAAGGAGTCTTGTTCAGATAAGTCTATTCAACTACTCCCACACCCACAAGTGCTAATCATTGACAGTATATTAAGCTTTTAAAACAAAGGTCTAAGTAACCATAAAGGAAAAGACTGATAGATTTGACCATATAAAACTTGACCGTATTATAAAACTTTTATGCTACAGAAGACGCCATGAGAAAAGTTTAAAGGCAAACAGAAAAGCATTTGACAAGTGGTTTATATCCTAAATCTGTAAAGAGTGCATAACGTTAAGACTGTTTTCTCTACCCATTAGAGAGAGAGGGAGAGAGAGACAATATGTTGCTGGTGAAGCCGGAGGGAAATCTCACGCATTGCTGGTGGAAATAGGAATTGCTCTAACCCTTTTGGAAAGTAACGTAGCAATGTATGTTAAAATTTAAGTGCACACCGACCCAGCAATCCCACTCTTTGGAATTTATTTTCTAGAAATAAAAGCTTCAGTACCTGAACATACAGGAACCAAAATATTTACTTTGGCATTGCTTGTAGTGGTGTAAAAGAAAAAACTGAAACAACCTGAATGTGCATTAATGGGAGCAAAGGTTGAATCAGTTATGCCACAGCTATTAGAAAGAATGAGTAAACAAGTCTAGGACCTGGAGGAATATGAGGTATTATATATAATGTATTTATGATGTATGATGAAATGAAAAAGCAAATTGCAGAATAATTTGTAGAATATAATTACTTTTTAAAAAGAAAATAAGCCATTAGCCTTTAATACCTTTGTATGAATAAGTAAATAATTTAAAGAGAGCCAGGCAGGACCCAATGATGAACATGATTAATCTAGATTTTTGCACCTAAGGTTGATTTATTTGCACATAAGCTGCTATAAAAAAATAGTAAGAAAACTGGACCTTAGCTGCGAAGAATTGGATTAATTATACTTTTTTTCATGATTCACTGTCTTGTCAGTAAATACAGCTTCACCTCATCACTTTTTTGGGTGGCTGCCTAGTAGTTGATTGTATGACTATAAAGTAATATGTTTAATCAATTGCCTGTTGCCAAACATTTTAGATGGTTTCAAAATTTTTAGTTTTATGAATAATGCTATGTGGCCATTTTTATGTGCTTTCCAAGTTATTTTCTTAGCATAAGTTCCTAGAACTGAAATTGCTAGGTTAAAAGATATTTGTGTCTGTACATCTGTATGTATATAGATAGATTGATGTATAAATATAGATGTATAAATTTTTAGATAGAGATATCTTTTAACCCAGCAATATATATTACATTATATATATTATACATAATATATAATGTTCTAGTCATCTAGTACTATATAACAAACTACCCCAGAACTCTCTATATCTATATATGTGTATATATATGAATATAGATATCTTTTAACCCAGCTGTAGGTATATAGTGTTCTGGTTATCCAGTGCTACATGTCAAACTACCCCAAAACTTAGTACTCCAAACAACAACATTTAACTTACCCGTGAATCTGAGTTTGGTCAAGGCTCAGTTAGGGCTGCTTATTTCTGTTCCGTTTGACATTGGCTGGGGAGGCTGGAATCTTTTGAAGGCTCTCATTCACATGGGTGGTGCCAGGGCTGGGAAGAGTCAAACAGCCGGGGCCTGGAGCAGCCAGGACTCCTCTGGCATCTTTCTTCATCTTTATGTGGTCTCTTTATACCTATACCAGGCACTGTGGTAAACTGACATCACCGGTTCATCCCTCACCATGGCCTTGTGAGATGGGTGTCATCATGCTCAATTTACAGATGTGGAAATTGGCCTTTAATGTAAAACATCAACATCTACATCAAAGAATGATAAAGAAAGCCATCAGAACCTCCCTCTTCCTCAAGTTTAGCTAAAATCTAAATGCACTTAAGCAGGACTTTACCTGGAGCAAATTCAGGTCATCTTTGCACCTAAAAACAAAAAGTGTCTAAATCTAGAAATAGGATGAGTATTGTCAGGTTAAATCGACCATTGTGAAAACAGTCAGCCACCATCCGAGTCAGTTAGCATTCAGCTTTAGGGAATCATGGACCCCAACCCAGCCCCTGCCCCAGTCTCCTATGTGTTAAGAACACCAGACAAGATAAAAAGCTTTATCTTGTAATTCCCGCAAAACTTATAGACTTCTGGAATATAGACGCTTTAAAAAGGACAGATGGACATCTGCACATCTGCTCTGCTGATGTTTCTGTGTGAAATAAATTAAATGAAAGTCATGAGAAATTATTAAACCTGTGACTCTTATTGCAGAACTTTTTAAAAGCAATTAAATTCCAATTAAAGCAATTAATTTCATCACTGTTTTATTATTCATCCATCTGACATGATCCTGGCAAAGACTAAGCTCTGAGAATACAGAGGTATGAGGCTTAGTATTCATTTATTAAATTTGTATGCCCTTCCTCATACCAAAAGGTATATGAAATGGTTTGTAATAAATGACATCATTCAAGAAGTGGGGAAGGTTGACAAGGGCACAGACGATAAATACCCTGATAGAGATATGCCAAAGATCTGCATAGCACATGGTGGTTGAGGAGGTGAGAGCACCCATCATAGACCGGGGTGCGGAACTGGGGCACCCCGGAGATTCCTGAGAGGAATAAATAAGCTACACAAAAACCATCAGCGTGATTTTGCTCAGTATGTGTGTTTTACATTTTCCTCTGTTTGCCTCTTTCCTTGCTACCTTGGTCCTAGGAGACCAACCACAATTTAAAGCAGTGTGTAGGTGTCTGGCCTCAGTCACAGACTTGCTCCTCCATTTAGCCAGCTACATGCCGGATCTTTAAAAAGAAGATTCTTAAGATTCTTCTTCTCCTTCAGCCCATTTCTCTTTGTCTCAGAAACTTATTCATATGTTGCACCCCAAGGTTTCCATGAGTGCAGCTGTGATTAAATATGTGTGCATATCCACCATGGTTTGAGAGACATCCTGCTGCAATGTCAGCATGATGGAATGGCCTGCATCATGGCAGCTGCAATGGATGAAAGCAGTAAAGGACCTCAGATCTTCCAGTCAGCTGTTCACCCTACAAGTCAAAGTCCATGTTAGAGTAGTTGCCGTTTTCTTCCAGGTATCTGGTTGACATATGGAAAAGGGCAGACCATAACCCAAAGTGCTCATGAAATTTTCCTACCTTCAGTGGGTCTTCTCTCCAACGTGAATACTCATTTAAAGGGCTTTTTGTGTTTCCTGGGTCCATTAACCCCCATTTTTAACCTGGGTGGATTTCTATCCATTGCAACCAAAGGGCCTTGACTGAAACAAACACTCAAAGCACAAGTTTTATTCATCTTTTTATCTGCCCAGCAAGCCAATGGCTTAATCCTCCATGGTAAATTTCTATTTCTGAAATTCCATTTAATCGAGTCTTAGAGAAGACATTTTCTCTGCTTGGCTCAGTTAATATTAAGCCACTGAAGGAATGAGTGAATAAAAAGTAACCACGGTGAATTATCCCTCTGATTCCTCTGCCCTGAATTTCATTGAGGAACTTTTATTTCCAATTGAAAACTAGCATTTCTCTTATTCACTCAGTAAGTGAATATATAACTAGCAGCTGCTGTGTTCCAGGCATGGTTTATAGATGCTGGGAATGTAAAGATAAATAAGACATGGACCTTGTTCTCCAGGAGCCCACAGTTTAGTGGGGGAGACTGACAAATAAACCAGTGGTTACAATATAGCAAATGCAATTTAGGGGGAACCCTGGGAGCTATGAAAACACACCGGTGCACCTGATCAGCCTTTGAGAGAGCTCTGGGACGCGGTCAAGGAAGGCTTCTTGCAGGTCCTGACACCTGATGTGCATCTTGAAAGATGAGTAGGAGTTAGCCAGAGGAAGAAGCTGAAGAAGGTGTGCCAGGTGCGTGGCCTCACATGGCAAAAGTAGGAAAGTGAAAGAGAGTCCAGTTCTTTCATGCCAAATTATAAAGTTTTTATATAAAGTTTAGTTCTCAGAAATTATCTTTCAGAATAAAGAGATTTGCCTTAAATTCAGTCTCTAAACACCTTTTATATTACAGGGCACTATCTCAATTATTTTGAACCAAAAAGAATTGTTTAAGAAAGACATAGCAGCCTGGAGCTACCTCTGTCACTGCTGGTTTGTATACTTATAGAGGTCATTTGAGAAAAGAAGCAAAGAAATTCAATATAGATTTAGTAAGTATTGGGGGGTGGGTGGGAAATGACTTCACAATTGCAAGTCTTGGGTATCATTGCAAATAAGCCTTTTAAAGATCACTTTAAAATGAAATACAATTAGTGGTTACTTTGTGGAGGTCATGAGTATACACCCACAGGATGAACGGAAAAATAAAACTCTTCTTATTTTAGGCAAATGGCTATTTGTGGGTTGAGATACAGTTTCCAGTGATAGCATCGTGTCCAGATGAAAAAAATATTTCCAGTTTCAAGATAGTAGAGTAAAGCCATGTTCACTTCCTTCTCCTAAATAATAAAGAGAAAAGAAACAGAAATGCAGACTTCGTCTTTGATCACGCTAAGGGATGTGTGTAACCCTGAACTAGAATTTATGAAGACTGAGAAGTGCTGGAGGAATGGTAAGAGAGCAGAAAGGTCAAACCTAAGTTCCCGCAATACAGGCACCCAAAGAACCCCTGCAAGGCTCAGAAATAAAGGCACCAGGGACCACAGGAGACCGGGACCGGGTGGGAGGCCCCGAATAGGGATTTTAGGAGAAAGCCTGTCCACGGAGCAGTTGCACCCCATTTCACCCAGACAGGTAACAAGCCTCCCCCACCCCCAAATAAAATCAGAATTTCATTCTCTGGAGGAAACAAACCAGAGGACCACCAGACTCTGAGATAGCAGGCACAGAGGAGGCGGGAGTGAGCAGCCCTAGTTTGTACACTTGTCTGTGAATACCAGCAGCCTGGATATGCCAGAGAAGAGGTTGGAGGATCCACCGCTAGAGAAAATGAACCACCGGAGAAAAACCCGGAGGTACTGACCCTTGAGATTCCCCAATTTGGAGATCACTCTCATGTCCTCCAGGATCTATTTCCCCTTTTATCCTTTTTACTAATGGAACGCCCTCAATTTTTGGCAAGGAACGTGGCTGCCTAGACAGAGACCACATTTCCCAGGCTCCCCTGCATGGAGCTGTGACCACTGACTAAATTCTTAAAAGCCGTGTGAGCAGTTTCTACTTCACTCCAACAAAAGAAACTTGCTTGTCCCTCCCTTTCTCTCTGTCCCTTCAAGGGCAGGATGTAGATATGGTGCTGATGAGGCAAGGGCAAGACCATCGGGGAGGATGGAGCAGCAAATATAAAGAAGAGAGGGAGCAGCAGCATCCGCTTGTCCGGCACCACCCGTCAACGGTGGAATGTCAAAAGGGAAAGAAATGAACTCCTAACTTGTTTGAGCCGCTGTATTTGGGAGCCTCTGCGTTGTAGAAAGAAACTGTAGAAACTTAGCCTGGAACCTAACTGGTAAACCATGTATATATTTTTTTAAAAAAATAAAAACTTGGTTTTTTTGCCCAAATACTCTGTAGTGAAGCCTACCCGTTCATACCGTGTACTGGCTTCAAAACAGCTTTTTAGTGCTTCATTATTAAATATGAAGGGACAGCGAGGGATCACTAGACGCTTGATTAAAGCTTCCAACATGAAAGGCAGCAACCCGAGTGAAGAAACAGGAAAAGGGAGCTCAGAGGACTCAGAAGCAATGCAGGGAGCAGAAGAAAACTTCAAAGAAAATGTAGTTAAGTTCTCAGAGAGATAAGAGAAAGATACTGCATTAAAAAAGTGTAGGATGCTGTTCTAAAATGTGAGAGTTGAATAATACAGTATTTCCACATTAATATATTATTTAATTAAGTATATAGGCATAATTAAATTAATATAATATTTTAAATTAACATAATATTTTAAGAACATATTTGACTATATTTCAACTAAATGCCTAAAACATTATATATGTAAATTGACCAAAAAATCTAGAGCCCAGGGCAGGAGGATGGTCTTACTGGGAAAATGGGAAAGGCCTGAGATTCAGGACCCCGTTATATTTGATATGTTCTGAAAACTTTAGAATGTTCTGAAGGCGGGAGCATAGGGTGTGAAAGAGAGAATAGCACTGGCTCCCATCAAAATTCATAGCATGATGGTTCCCCGAAACTAGGAAGGAGGTTCATATACTGGCCACGATGTTATAGGCCTGACAATGATTCCCAGATTTCTGACATGAGCGCCTGAGTAGCTAATGGTGCTATTTCCTGAAATGATCATAAGAAGTTATGTGTTTAATAAAGACTATGCTTGGTTCAGTTTTAGACATACTGAGTTTGAGTTGTCTATGGGACATCCCAGTAGAGGTCCAGTCTACAGATCTGAAAAATCAAAAGCTTTTACTAGCTTTTGACATTTTTGTTTTATCCACCTTTGACAGAACTGAAATTCAGTGTACCTATACTGGTTGCTAAAATTCTGAAGTATTGTGTACTCATAAATGATCCCTTCTCCCAAACCCCCAACGCCTCCCCTGCCCCAACACCGTAGCTGTCCTAACCCTTGCTTGAAACCCCCACAACACCCCACAGTCCACTAATCAGGTTAACTCGTGGCCCAGAAGTGGGCCTCCAGGACCCTGTCCCAGCCCTGTAGCTGTCCTGTCTGCTCTGATTGTTAAAGTTTTTAATTTAACTCTGGCTTACAGCTCACGAAGGCTGAACACACGTCCGCGTGCTTAGTCTGTGTCATCACCTTCCACAAATCTGCTCCCCAAATCCGGTAGCACTCCGCTCTAAGTCCCCTCTGCTTCCAGCAGTCTGAACTACTCACTACTGACTCCCTACGTTTCTCACCTTCCTTTCTTTGTGCTTGTTATTCAGGAAGACTTTTCCTGATTTCTGAACATCCTATGTTTTATTCATCCTTCAAGGCTGGTTCATTTTCCCTTTTTACCAGAAAGACTTCCTCATCTAGAAATGGTAGTTCCCTCTTTGAAATGATGATCCCCTCCTCGAAACAGCCATCCCTTCTCATGGCACCTATCACTTCCTATCTTATATTAGGGTATCTTAGTACTTTCTATAAAATTTTTTTCATAGTGGATAGGCAATAAATAATCGTTGAAGAAATGAGACTGTGAATCTAAATGAGAGGACTCTAGCAATTATCATTGGCATATATTTGCTAGCAGTTTAATCATTTCTTTGGAATATCTATGTAGAATAATCTCAGATTCCTCCCAAATCTCCCTGGGTCTGATTCCTATAATACAGTATTTCCTTACATGCCAAAACACAAAATAAGACAAAACCAAAAACAAACAAATGCAGAAATGTTTGCTGATTTCCTGAACTAAAGCTTGTGGTACTTTCCAGTTGTGTCTTGGTCATCTCTCTTTAAGGTAAAATAGGTGATAGTAATTTTCCATTTTCTGTGCTCACTTTAATTTAATTAATCTCTCAGAAATGCTAGAGCAGAGGTTTTCCCTAAGGTATGTTGCACTGTTTGCTCCACTGCAGCAAATCAAGCTCCTATTGTGACACTGGCAGCGGAGGATGAGTCATTGCTTTGGCTGGGACGAAGCATTTCCTGAAGTCGGATAGGAGAGCAGAATACCTAATGCCACCTTGCTACCTGTAATCTCTCTCAAACACTCGCTCTCCTATTGCCCTTCATGGAAGCGAAGTAAAAATCAAACTTCCAGTGTTTGGTTGAGGTAGCAAATAATTTCCACTTAAGGTCATTGGTATATAGACAAATTTTCTTTTCCTAGCATCCATCTAATGGCTTTTGTTCTCTTTTCTTTTAAAGAAGATTCAAGCAAAATACAGGCTATGGTAGGTTTCTCACTGATGCCTCAGTCTCTTTTGCCCAGAAGCAGTGTCTGGCACTTGCCTTAGGTAGATAAGATGGAGAGAAAGGTGGGCAGGAGGATTGTTCAAGGCCTGCAGGGTACATGGCCTGTAACTGCCAGCCCCAACCTCCTGCCTGAGCACCCAGCCAGAGCTGATGCTCTGCAATGCGGTTCTCAGCAAATCTGTATTTTGTCAGATACAGGGGAAATGAAACTTCCTTGAGATGCCATTTTCCTATCCTCTGAAACTAGAAAATGCTGAATGGGACTAAAGTATCTAATCTCTTCCCTCTCATCTCCCTTCCTTTTTCACTGATACCTTTTAATGAAAAGATCTTGTATCTTCACCTGGGCCATGTATGGGCGGTGAATGTAAATGAAGGTAGTTGACGTACAGATAACTTCAGGGTCAGGAAGGAAAGCATGCAGGGCGGTTATGCTGTTTCACACAGTGTTTCTCAGAGCAACTGTCAGGGGCAGAATCCTGAGCTGAATACTCCATTGGCCGTTTTCTCCTTACTGGAATTAGAATTATGTCAAAAGCCAACCCAACGGTACCTGTACCTGAGTCATACTGTAGTTTTTATTATAACGTGCCAAATACCCTACTGAGCTCATCAGGCGAGCCGTGCATCTTCCCATATTGCAGTGTCTTTGACTGGGATAATTTACCAGATGGAAGAATCTCATATGTTTGATTGGGAAACTTTAGGCTTCGGTCAGCCCAGAAGGTAAGTGTGCGTAAAGTGAAGAAAAGGCCCCGGACTTGCCCTCTGAAATTAGGAAATGAAGGTGGGGAAATAGGCAACTGATGTTATCTTAATGACATCAGAGTATGGCCTCCAGCTTCTTGCCTCTATGGCAGCAGTTTTCTACAATGGCGTTGTAGAAGCACTCTGTTATCATTAGTGAAGTACCTAAATTCTCAAAAAAGGGAGAGTGCATTCAGAGTTAGCCCTCTGTAAGTCCTTCTCACTTACCTGCCTTTTAATAAACTTTGCTGAATGTCAGAGAAAGGGATGTATTATTACTAGCGCAGGGGAGTTGCATGTAATCCAAGCTTTGTGCTCTGTGCCCATCATCTGTCATGGGGGTGGTGGGAAAAGTAAGACTAAAAACTACTGTGGCATGAGACCCTTTTGCAAACTGTTTCCTCTCTTTCTGCCTCAGAAGCTAAGAGTTGGGGCCCAGATGTAGTCAGTATCTTTTGAAGCTCTCATTCTCTCTTGCTAGGTCCGTCCTACATGATGAAGCACTATTCTCCTGATAGCCTTCTCTCGCCTGGCTTTATTTCCCGTGTTCTGAGTGATGATAATATATCAGCCACTTTTCCAGCTGTGTGATCTGGCAGTTGTTGAGTTGCAGCTGACAATAGCCCAGAATATAAAGAAAAGCCCATTTTAGCTTTCAGAGTTACATGAGGGATCTCAACTCCTTTCCTCTCTCCCCATAGTTGGAAGCCTTCCAATTAATAACCAGGAGAGGAAAACTCACCCCAGAGTTCTATTGGGAAGAGTGGGAGGGGATTTTGCATGATGTGCTTTATATTTAGAGTATCCACAGTATTTTATCAATATAAATAATGTGGGAGAGTGGATTCTGTGAGGCTGAGGATTCTATATGGTACACCCGCTAAAATAAGTAAGTAAATGAATAAAACATCACATCAGTGCCAGAATGTGGACTTAATCTTTCAGGGAGCAGGGCTGTGGGATCCCACTGAAGAATACTCAGCTTATCGTCCTGAGACAGGTGCTGCCTACAGGCTGAGCACCAGCATGGTTTGTTTCCCACTGAAAAGTCAGGAGCATTGCGGAGGACAGCACACTGCAGTTTGTTTTCAGAGTGCTTCCTTCATTCACTTATTAGAAAATATTTCTTGAAATAACTCGTCCTGAGTCAGGGCTGGCATCTTACTAGGAAAAATGCACATTTGAGGGACCTAGTATTGTTTATCCATGGAAGACTGTGTGTTTTAAACTTTTGGCAATTAATCTGCTCACTTCCAGTGACCTAGAACCACAGCTCAGCCAGGAAGTCTTTATTAAGTGCCTCTGTTCCCACTACAGTTCCTTGGGTCACATAAAGTGTGCAAGGAAGCAGTCTACTTGGAGAGATAACATAAGCATGGATTTTGAAAAATGAAGATGCAATCAAGGCTCAGTTATTTAGAGGCACTAAGTTTCACTAAAATACCGATACCTACCTTGGCAGTCATCTTTCATAGTCTGCTAAAGCCCTCATCTCCACAGAGGCCTCTTGGGATCGTGCTGGAAGGAGGAGGATTCCCCTCGGAATGTGTCTGTCTGCCCTTGACTGCAGAGGCTCACTGCATACTTCAGAGTTTAGTGCCGGTGTTAGGATCTAAGTTGGTTTCCAGCCCTCCAGAAAAAAAGGAGAAGCCCTTATCTCGTGGTTCTTTGAACTCTCATGTTGAATTGTATGTGTGTCTCTTATTGCCTCTGTATCCGATATATTACAAATATTACTTGTTTTTGTATTTCTCTAGAATTGTAGAAAGCTTGAAAGAGGTTTAACATTATTTTCTCGCTATCCAGAATACTACCACATGCCAGTGAGATTTAATATGTTCTGAGATTGGGGTGAAATAGCATAAACCAACCTTATTTACATCTTCTGAGTAAATCTGAATTACTGTGAAAGATATCTGAAGCTCTTTAGCTTTCTTTCTCATTATGTACTTTCCAACATTTTTTTCCTCTTCATTCTCTCTTTTCTCCCACTTTGCTTTCATATTTTCCACTCTTCTTCTTTTCGTCATCTTTTTCTTTTCTTTGTTTTTTTAATATCAATTATTTCTTTATTGAGTTCATAATAGTTTACATCAATGTGAGATTTCAGTTGTACGTTATTTCTTGCCTGTCACCACATAAGTGGTCCCCTTCACCCCCTGTGCCCACTCCCCACCCCCTTCCCCTGGTAACCACTGAACTGTCCATGTACTTGTTTATATTCCACATATGAGTGAAATCATCTGGTGTTTGTCTTTCTCAGACTGGCTTATTTTGCTTAGCATAATTCCCTCTAGGTCCTTCCATGTTGTTGCAAATGGGATGAATGTGTCTTTTTTTCTGGCTGAGTAGTATTCCATTGTATATATATACCCCATTGTCTTTATTCAATCCTCAGTCGATGGGCATTTGTGTTGCTTCCGTGTCTTGGCTATTGTGAATAGTGCTGCAGTGAACATAGGGGTACATATGTTACTTTGGATTGTTGATTTCAAACTGTTTGGGTAGATACCCAATAGTGGGATAGCTGGGTCATATGGTAGTTCTATTTTTAGTTTTTTGAGTACTCTCCATACTGTTTTCCATAGTGGCTGTACCAGTTTGCATTCCCACCAGCAGTGTATGAGGGTTTCCCTTCTCTCCACACCCTCTCCAACATTTGTTATTTTTAGCCTTAGTGATTATAGCCATTTTAACAGGTGTCAGGCGGTATTTTAGTGTAGTTTTGATTTGCATTTCTCTGATGATTAGTGATGTTGAACATCTTTTCATCTGTTATTGGCCATCTGTATACCTTCTTTGGAAAAATTTCTGTTCATCTCCTCTCCCCATTTTTTGATTGGGTTGTTTGTTTTTTTATTGTTCAGTTGTCTGAGTTCCTTATATATTATGGAGATTAACCCCTTGTCAGATATATGATTTGCAAATATTTTCTCCTAATTGATGGGTTATCTCTTTGTTTTGATTCTAGTTTCTTTTGCCTTTCAGAAGCTCTTTAGTCTGATGAATTCCCACTTGTTTATTTTTTCTTTTGTTTCTCTTGTCTGAGAGGACATGGTATTTGAAAAGATCCTTTTTAGTTCGATGTCAAAGGATGTACTACTGATATTATCTTCCAGGTGTTTTACAGTTTCAGGACGTATCTTCAAGCCTTTGATCCATTTTAAGTTTATTTTTGTGTATGGCATGAGATAGTGGTCTACCTTCATTCTTTTGCACATCGCTGTCCAGTTTTCCCAACACCATTTATTGAAGAGACTATCTTTTCTCCACTGTATGTTCTTGGCACCTTTGTCAAAGATTAGCTGTCCGTAGATGTGTGGTTTTATTTCTGGGCTTTCAGTTCTGTTCCATTGATCTGTGTGCCTATTTTTATATCAGTACCATGCCATTTTGATCACTATGGCTTTGTAGTACATTTTGAAGTCAGGGATTGTGATACCTGCAGCTTTGTTCTTTTTTCTCAGGATTGCCTTAGCATTCTGGGTCTTTGCCCCACATGAATTTTAGTGTTCTTTGCTCTATTTCCTTGAAGAATGTCGTTGGGATTCTGTGGAATCTGCATTGAATCTGTGGGTTGCTTTGGGTAGTATGGACATTTTAACTATGTTTATTCTTCCAATCCATGAGCAAGGAATCTCTTTCCATCTGTTTATGTCAATATCAGTTTCTCTCAGTAAGGTCTTATAGTTTTCATTGTATTTCATTTCATTTCACCTCCTTGGTTAAATTTATTCCTAGGTACTTGATTCTTTTAGTTGTGATTGCAAATGGAATTGTATTCTTGAGTTCTCTTTCTCTAAGTTCATTATTGGAGTATTGAAAAGCAACTGATTTTTATAAGTTGATTCTGTACCTTGCAACTTTAGTTGTTAATTATTTCTATTAGTTTTCTGATGGATCTTTTGGGATTTTCTATATATAAGATCATGTCATCTGCAAATAGCAAGAGTTTCACTTCTTCACTCCCTAGTTGGATGCCTTTTATTCCTTTCTCTTGCCTAATTGCTCTGGCCAACACCTCCAGTACTATGTTGAATAAGAGCAGTGAGAGTGGGCATCCTTATTCCTGTTCTCAGGGGCATCATGCTCAGTTTTTGCCCATTGAGTATGATGTTGGCTGTGGGTTTGTCATATATGGCCTTTATTATGTTGAGGTAGTTCCCTTCTATCCCCATTTTGTTCAGAGTTTTTATCATAAATGGCTGTTGGATCTTGTCAAATGCTTTCTCTGCATCTATTGAGATGATCATGTGGTTTTTATTCCTCAATTTGTTGATGTGGTGTATTCAGAATCTCATGTATAAGATAGTCCATTTTCTGATAGCCTCTTATTTCCTTAGTCTAAACCGATTCAGTCTCTTCCCTCTGCCCCTTCTAAGTTATTTTTCTCATGTCTTATTCCATCTTGTGTTGTGAGTTTGTGGTTAAAGTGACAAGATTGTCTTTGTTTTTGGTGTTTTCCTTCCCTTTAGCCTAATGCTATAGTTGAATATTTGCTATCCTATTCTGATTCTAACTGTTTATCTCTTTACTCTGTGTTTGGTGATCCCTTTCTCCCTTTTTTTCTTTATTCAGGTATGAGGGCCTTCTTGAGGATTTCTTGTAGGTGTGTCTCATGGCTAGGAAGTCCTTTAGCTTTTGTTTGTCTGGGAAAGATTTAATTTCTCCCTCATATCTGAAGGATATTTTTGCTGGATAGAGTATTCTTGGCTGAAGATTC